ACCAATAAAATGAGATAACCAGTATCAAAGTGATTCAGGATTTGCTTTTCTTCGTTTGTTCGTTTACTGTTTGTTTTACTGTATGTGTGTGCGCCTGTGTGTCATCAGTGCTTTTTAAACTAGAATTATCACCTTTTGTAGTGTGCCACAGTCAGCTTATTTATAATTCACTATGTTGTGTTACTTAACACATACATATTACAAAGAAAATTATCAATATTGTTAATATTTTATAGTACTGTAACAAAAGCGTAGAGTAAATCAAATTACACACTAGGAAAATATCTGGCATTCATTCACTTATCAAACAACAACAACAACAGCACTCACATATAGAGCAATTTGTTTCCAATCAGCAACTTTCTTTTCTCCTCTGTTTTATTCTAATGTGTAAAATAGTTGGCGATGGGAGTGGGGTGGGGGTGGGGGTGGGGGAAACGTAAATAACCATAGAGTTGAATAAGCAACAAAATCTTTAGAATTAATAAGAATAATCAAAGATACAACTGACAGGATATTTATAATTCAATAATTAATTAATCAATCGACTAATCAATCTGGAATCAGCTGTAATGAGATAGTGAAATCCCAACAACACATACCTACATACACACACACTAGCAACCCCTCCTCCTCCGCCTCCTCCCATCGAATATTCTATTTGAATTCAAGAAAAGTAATAAAAAGAAACCACAACAACATAAAAATAAAAACTGGAAATAGAAACAGAGCGCATATCTTAATAACAATAATAATAATATCAACTAGAAAAGTGTAGAAATCCAAAGGTATCAATGAAAAATCTAAAAGCCTAAACAATGCTTTTGTTTATTATTTGAATGTTGTTAAATGTATATAAGCTTTTGAAAATACTGTGATGAACAATAATAATAATAATAGTTACCATAACATACAGCTTAACAGATGCTTTATTTATTTGTATTTTTTGAGGTGAAATAGGAAGCACTATAGGAGAGAGTAAACAAAAAGCTACAATTTTAGGGAGAGAGAGAGAGAGATAAAAAACAGCCATTTATGGACTTTAGGCAGTTTTGATATATACTGAATGAGAAGTGTTCATCTTTTACGTTTCTTTTTTTTTAAAAAAAAGATGATTTAGAAAAACACAAAGGGGAAGAGAGGACGATTAGAACAAAATACATCAAAAAAAAAAAAAAGGTACCGAGATCATGAGAACCATACACACACACACAGAATGTTCATCAAAAGTAGCTTCATATACAATCTGAATCCCATTCTTTTTGAACAAACTGTGTTGCATATGTGCTTGAGCAGAGGACAGAGAGTTGATGATTTAAGAAAAGCCAAAATTATTACTAAATAAACACCACTTCTTTTGTTTTTCTCCTCATCTTTCACCAATGAAACACAAGCAGCAATCAGTTCATCCATCCACATCTATCCATCTTTCACACAAACTAAAAAGCAGCAAAAAAATAACCTGAATAACTTGTGCGTGGATATAAATAAACACGAAAGAGAAGCGAATCATCACAGAATATTATCTCATTATTATTATTACCATTATTATTAATTATTACACTCCAGACAAACTTATATATAGGCAAAATAGAATAAAAAGTATAAGACATCATATATATGTATATAATGCAAATCCATCCCCAGCCAGCGTAATAATAACAAACACACAAGCACGCACATACACACATACACTCACACAGTAAATAAATAAAAAAGCGCTCATAGAGCAAAAGTAACAAACAGACAAAAAGAATCCTGTTATGTAATAGTCATATTGTCAATTGTTTATAGAAAACAATAACAAAACTATATCTTTTAACAGTTCCTCTTAGAAACAATCCAAGTAGAAGTATGAGTAGGGAAGGTATGAATCGACGAATTGACAAAGGCAGAATATATTATATATATATATAACATAAGAAAGTATATAAATGTATACTTATATAATTTATATTCAGTGAAACAAAATTGAATATAGAAATGAATGTGAATGAAAGTTGATGGTATAAACAACAATAACAACAACAGCAACGACACCAACAAATAACAGTAACACATTAAATCCTCTTTCCAACCTTATTAATATAAATAGTGAATAATAATAATTCTCTTTTACAAAATGTAAACAAACAAAATAACCCCTCAAACAAAAAAAGAAATCGAAATGCATTTTTTTTCTTTCAAATTTGAAATAATCACGTACAAAATGAAAGAGAGAGAGAGAGAGAGAAGGAGAAAAAAAACAAGAATCATGTTTTGTGTATCATAAAAAAGCGTATTGTGTATGCATCCATGCATGTGCATATGATCCACATGTGTTGGTGTCATTCATGAATCGAGATTTAGCGAAAACCACAGACAGAGAGGGGAGGAGGAGGAAAGTGTTCCATAATAAGTAGTAAGGGAAAAGATAAAAATATTTTGTGTGTATGAATGATAGCCTACAAGAGTCGTGAATGCAGCATATACACGCGTATTACGTAACTTATTGTGAACGAATAAATCAGAAATGGTGTATGTAGGTGTGTGTGTGTGTATGAGGGAGAAAGTGAATGTTTAATAACAGTAGTTATGGTAGTAGACGTAGTAGTAGTACTATTAGAAATGGTAATAATATCAATAATAATAATAATTAGCAATAACATAAGAAAATATATTTATACGTCTTTTGTCCGTTTTATTTTTACGAGAGAAACAATGTGATGCACGTTGGCAAAAAGAATAACAACAATAATGAAAGATGAAGAGAATATATGCATGTATATATTGTATTAACAAAACCAAAATAGCATTATAAAAATAATGATAATAATAACGGTAATAAAAAGGAAAGAGAGGTGATCGTATTTTCCACAAGCCTCTGCCATTAATCAAATCATCACCATCATCAATAGACGAAAAATAGAAATATTTTTTTCTAAACTGTTATCAATTTTTATTTTAATTTTTTTATGATATACCAAAAGCGGAACAAAAATAAAACGGCAAATGAACTGGTGACGAGAAGATGGGGAAAAGAAGAAAGAGAAGCATCAGGGGAAGGAGGAGGAAGAGAGAATATCATTCAGATCAATAATTACTGTGTGAAGTACTTCTTTTTGTGTGTGTATGCGTTCAGTGCTTTCTTTGTTATAATAAAACTGTCAACACATGGATGTAATATTGCATGAAAATTTGTTTAGTTAATTAGTTAGTTTAATAATTTTAAAAAAAATAGACCAAAAAGGGAGACATCGAACCTTGTTTGGCTAAACTTTTAAAGTGATACTTCTCTACACTAACAAATACATACATATGTGTTGCATATATATAAAAAGATATACACATATGTTTTTATGCTGTATTAATTAAAATGATCGAATAAACTAGATGTGATATATCTATCTTTGGTATGGTATGAAAAGCTATAAAGCTGATGATGGTTTTAGGGGAGCACAGGCTAACACCCTTCTTCTTTGTCGTCGTCGTCTTCTCCTTCTCAAAGAAGAAACACACCACACACAGAGAGAGAGAGAGATACATACTACAGGTAGGTAACAATCTATATATGTGTATACGGGGTACACTACTATCGATTAATTATAATTAGCAAAAGGATATGAACTATGTATGCAAAATAGGCATATAAATGATTGATTTTGTGTTATTATAAAAAAAAATTAATATCCAAAATTCACACTTTGATAAAGCATACAAAAAAAGAAAAACCTCAAAAGAACACAACATGAGAGAAGCATTAACAGTGGTATATCAATACATGGTATAAATATCACTGTTAATATACTACTATTACTAAAATAGTCATAAACAACTCTCTCCTCTTCGTCAAGATCAAGACAGTGCGCTACACACACACACACACACACACACACAGGTATGACCTAAGACACTCACTGTGACACCTACACCCACATACAGACACTTTCTATCCGACGACTTACAGATGTGGAGAAGTAGAAAGAGACAAACCAACAGAAGAAAGGGAAACAAGAACCAACGGTATTAGAATCAGAAATGATAAAAGTTTGGAAGAAAAAAGAGGGTAAATAAAAAAGAATTCGGAGAGGAAAACAGATTGAGGCAAATAAATGGAAAAAATACTTGTAAAATCAGTATAATAATAATTATAATAACAACGACAATAGTGTGTTCGAACCAAAAGCACGCCAAATGATTGTGTGATGATATACATACGTATATATATAGACAAAGAGGAAAGTAACTAAAAACACGTTTTGATCACAGTTAAAACAAACAATAACTTTTACATGTTTCTTTTGTATTTTTAAAGGAAATCAATAAACAAAAGTTGGAGGGAGAGGAGAAGGGATAATAAAAAAAGATAGGGAAAAAATAAGGAAAAACACAAACAAACACTTCAAGCTAATTACAAACTGATAGAAAGTGTAAGTAGTATGTGTGTAAATAATGTAAAAAGGAGAAAACTAAACTGATTTGTAGCTAGTAGTTTTACTAGTCAATAGTAATAGTGTTGGCGGTGGTAGTAGTATTAGTAGTATTGATATTAATAAGGTGTGCAATGTTAATTTCTTCCACATGTACTTCGACGGCTACATAAATGTGATATTATATGGATTTAAATAATCAGCATTTATATATAAATGATTAAATCACAGACTAGGAAATGGCAACAAAGCAGACTGATGTATACACCTTAAGGGCTTAAGTATGAGTGGGGAAAGTAAGGGAAACAACAGAGACTTAGGCTTAAAAACAGACATAATCATAATATCCCGACTATGCAGTCTCCATTGAGAAATAGAAACACCTTATGAATGGAGATGAGGACAGGTAACATAGAAAATCTATTCCTTAACCGGCAAAAAAAATCTAGAAAAAAATACTTAAAAAAACAACAAACAGAGAGTAAGGAAAGTATCGATTGGCAAAGTGATTAGAACAAGAAATCCAACGAATATATATATATATATTGATGGTGGAGGAGACCATTACAGCATGCGCGATATAAGCGCCGCCTACCATCGATAAAGTGCAGGACGAGGACGCTCAGCGCCTTCTTTGACTAGAGGTTTGTGATATTCACGACCATAACGACTGTGTATTTGTACCCAGCATTGTTCACAATAGTATTGAAGGCAAGTTACATTGGCACAAAAGAATGGAGCAAATTTGCCGCCACAACGAGTACCCTGGCATTCATCACACATTTGATTATCCAAAACATATGGTTTAACTTCAACCTAAAAAATCAAATGTGATATACGATTTAAACGTTAATCATTAATGCATTTTTGACAATCATATATATACCCAAAATAACTTTCGTTTTGAAGCACTTCTTTGAAAAAAATTGTCTTCGAAAACTCTAAACAAATGCTTAATTATCAAAAAATTCTGGTGCCTTTTGTCATCCTTAGTTTATCTACATCACATGACTATTTTGCTAAGTATCAGTTTAACCGAATGAATTTAATCTATGTTTTAATGCATTAGCTTTGTTCATTTTATGCGTGCCTATGGTTTTTGAATTCTCAGAATACTGAAATCACATTTTAGATGCAGAACTGGTATTCTTTCTTCTTCTTTTTCTCTTTCAAAACACTCTCTTGGTATAATTCTAAGGAATATTGAAAGCATTAGTGAAGGATTTCTTCACTGTACAACGATTAACTTTCTATCTACCGCAAAGATCAATACCAATCCAGATGTATTGATAAAGGTAAGACAATTGCCTAATTAACTACAACCCACAAGGAACAATGATATTACTTTATGTACAGACGGTGAATGTATGCGCACATGCTGGTTACCTCTGATGGACAGAGGAAAACAAACTGAAATGATAGAGAAATGAATGACGACATATAGTTGTAGACAATTGCTTTAATATATATCACCAAAATACACCACAAGAAGTAGGCGGTCAGTTAGATGATTATGAAAAGTGAATTAATGATTTATTAATTACAATACAATAAACGAAAACGAAAAAAAAAGAAGAATAAGTTTTGACCTACTGTTCAGCATCAAACCATTCGATGAAAATCTAAAGGAGAGATGCTACTACTACAACTAATAATAATAACAATAATGCTTATACTAATAACAGAGCCTTCGAATCTTGTCTAAGTTAACACAACTGATATCAATGGAAAAAAGCGAAACAAACTAATAACTTAATTGTGGAAATGACAATAGAATAAAAATCAAGATATACTCAACAGACATGGTTCCTTTATAATAAAAACAGATGACAATCTACAAAGGAGCCAGTCACACTGACATATTTACTCGTTTCCTGAGTACATTACGATCCCGTAGGTAAGGAGAACTTCATCACGGTCAGTGTGCCATTTAACTAGTAGCTATGTTTACAATTACCCCTTTAAATGATATACTGCAGCCGACAGTGGGTAGACTGTGGTCTTTCTCTGCAAATGTTCTCATGTAGCCACACGTTTATATGGTCCTGCAAAGTAAGTCACATTCACTGCCTTCACATGACAGGCATTCCTTCACATAGCGAAAGAGTGAATATAAAGGTCTTACACTTACAATCAAATTGGTGGACACGTTGGTCTAACTAACGAATCTGGAAAAACCCGATTCCAGAATCCTACTGGATCAAATAGCATATGAACCTGTTTTGGACACTGGCAATCATAGGAACATAACTCCTGATGCTTCTCGATTCCCCTGTGAAACAGACTTCAAGTCAAAGGCTTGGGGGCGTGGATAATCTCTTATGTCAACTACCTGCTTCGGTCTAGGCGTATCGGGGCGTGTATCTCAGCCCACGCATAAAACCAACAGACTTTGTATGGTGCATCTCTTTTTCTCCATAATGTATCGAGTTTGTTTCTTAATAGCAATAAATAATATGCGTATATCATCCTAACACATATATCTATTAATCACAGTTAGTTGAGGCAATGCACACAAGTATATCTGGTCAATGTGTGTCTATATGAGAATTAAGATAAATACTATTCCAAATGGAAATGTTAAAAACTACATAATGCGTTTCATTACGTAGGTCAACTGTAAACACATACAATCAATACAAAAGTCTCCTTAATATTACAGGTTAAACACTTGAAAAAAAAATATTTATAGCAAAACGATAAAAAAATGAAAAGAAAGTAGGGCTAGGTCTAGATTCTGGAAAAACACCTACGCGCATGGAAGAGTAATACAATATAATACTATATATATATATATATATATATATATATATATATGCGCATATATTTTTGCATTCTGTAAATAACAAACCAATTGGATTGGTTAGGAAGGGGATGAAGGGAAGATGAAACACGACCAAAAATATCTGTCTAATCAATAAGAACGGTCAGATAGAAGAGGATAATTTTAGTTTAGGGAAAAATAGTTTATTTTATTGGTCATTAAAATCCAATGAAGAAAATCTTTTCCCAGCATACTAATTACTACTACATACTTGTTATTATGTCTAAGATAGTGGTGGTAGTGAATGAATCATTGTTAATCAGTGATTATTTTATTACTATAGCGCTATTTATAAAAATCAAATCAATAAAATTTCTTGTATCTAGCTCACACTTCACTAGTATAAGTTAACATTAGCTCTATAAACCAGTGAAATTACACAGAGACCAAGCAAAACTTAAATAGCTGTAGAGAGCTTTTTTTGTAACATTTAGACAAACCTTGAATACTGAATATGCCTAGTCTCTGTATGCGTAGTGATAACAGCCTTTATGTATATCAATGAAATATTTTATCGCTAAAACACAAACTAGGTACATTATGGACACTAACAAATGCGTCACATAAAATCTTATTAGTGTGAGTGAGGGTTAGGATACCGTCCGGTCATTCAGGTCGAAGTAAGTAGTTGTTTAAAGCGACCACAGGAAGAGCCTACGACTGGAAGTTTGATCTACACTGGTGTGGAAAAGTGTCAAGAGCTGTATTCCTATGGTTTCTGGTGTCCCAGACAGGTTCAAACGCCATTCGATCTGGTGGGATTCTGCAGCTAATGTACACCATAGATTTGGAGTCGAGGTTTTCCAGTTCCGTTAGGCAGACCAGCATGTCCACCAATCCGGTTGTAAGCGTGATATTCTCACCTTCGCTCTTTCCGTTCTGTAAGGAATACCCACTATCTGAAAGCCATCAATATGACTTACCTGGCTGAAGCTATGAATGCGTGGTGACATGAAGGCATTTCCATAGGAATACAGGAGTCTGTCAACTATCGGCTGTGGCACGTAATTTATGAGGCAACAATGAAAATTAAGGAATAAACGAAACAGATAGTAGGGCTTTGTTGAAACTTTCACTGAACAATTAGTGCATAGTCACATTTTCTCTAGTGTTATCCAACTCATACGTACCACACTTACAATAATAACAATATTAACAATGAAATAATCACAAAGATCAACTCAAATCAATAAGAGTTCCCCAGATTTTTGCAAAAAACAATTAAAACTCAATATCACTTGATTTTTGTCATTGATTTCTCAGCGCACAAATCATCCGAAGGAAAATAATAATAATTAATAATCGAAAGACTGAATTTTATAAAAGCTTACGCGTTTATCAATTTCATTATGCTGTAATTGAACAAATCGTGCACTGATTGCAGCAATATAACTTTGTTGATTTGAGAATGCCACACGACCAGCACCTTTAGGATATTTCAATTCTGGATCAGTGTCTATACCAGCATAACAGACACCACCGTATAAACGATCCATGATTAAGGCAAGTTCAACTACAAAAATATAAAATTACAACCAAAAATTATGATAAGACGACTGAGTGGATGGGGATAATCAAAATAAAATAGTATAGTATAGTTCATGAAATTTATTTGATCTCTGCAAGCTTATGATACTGCTTACTCGGTTTCTCAGGTCAAAGACAGTATATTCCAGGGGTTTTCAACCCATAAAAAGTAGATTGAAAGATATGCTGTTGACGTAACTTCAACAGAATTAAGAGTAAAAGAGAAAATTTTTTACAGTATGGAGTCACTGGTCTATTATGAATAGATTTGAAGATAACATCTTTTCAAGCATACTCACGCCTAAGATATGGTTAGGATACGTTGATGATACTTGTTATGCCAAAAGGAGATCTAGACAATCCATTCTTGAAGAAACTGAACAGTCTACATCCCAGTTTTCTTCAGAAGTAGAATCAGATGTCGGTGAACTACCATTTCTAGACCACTTGGCTAGTTAAAAGGAGGGAAAACGGATATTTTAATATATCTGTATTCAGGATCAAAACCCACTTCAACAAATATTTAGACTTCGGGTCAACACACCCTATCAGTGCGAAGGTATCAGACGTTTCAAGTCTTCTTAGTCGAGCACACTCTTTGATAACGGATGAAAGCGAAAACGAAGAAATATTAAAGAACTTCATCAACACAATCAACATCAACGTTAAATATGGTCGAAAACGTATTCTGAAAACATGGGCCTCAACAGTTGTCAAAGCAGAAATATCAGATGATAGCAGAACAGTGTTCAATAAGCACGACATTAGAGTTTTTTTAAAAACATCAGGCACACTACAAAGCAACCTTGTCCATATAAAAGACCAAATCCCTAAAGATTCTCTATCTAATTTTGTTTACATAATAAAATGCTTGGAACATAATGCGATATACATCGGGCAATCATCGCGAGAAATCAAAATCATACGAAATGAACACCGTAGAGCTGCATTTGTTCGATCATCGAGAAACCCAATCGAAGCAGCAAAGCTTGAAAAATCGTCAGTCATAGGTCGTCTACACGCTATAGAACCAGGTTACAAAATTGGTTTTTACAATATTGAAATAATCCAGAAAAATATCAGAAATCCCAAAGAACGTCTAATATCAGAAGCACTTCATATTGAATGGAATCCAAATTGTCTGAATAGGAATGGTGGAGAAGGGGGGGCTCCCCGTGAAATGATAAAATCAACACGAATTTGATAAGCAATTTCATTATGCAAACACATGCTGTTTTATAATGCTATATACTTATCAAATCCAACAATCTACACTTGGTTTTGTTATCCTTACCAACTGGCCAACTTGACAACGTGAAAATTACCCCATACTGATGAATGTTGATTAAGTTGTTATATATAAGCTGAAATTTTGTAAATTCTGGTTTAAAAATACTTTGATAAAACTAACAGCAGCAGCCATTAAATAGCGAAACGTCAGTAAAAACAACAATATCGTTTTGTTTTTCATTCATTGAGAAACACAAAATCTTTTATAATAGTGAGTAAAACATACAACTCTATGATACACGATATCTTTCTACTTTTTTGACAGTATTACAATTCAGGGTAATATGATAGTTTTGAAGCCCATGTGTATTTGTATTTGTACTATTCATCAAAACATGTGGTAGTTTGTTAATTATTATGATGTGAATCAATAATTGCTCAAATAGGGGTATACTAAGCACTATGATTTGAAAACAGACTTATACTCAGATGAATTGATCAGTTGTATCCAGACAACAATGTGTAGACTTCCTGGTTATCATCTATAACGTGACAAAACCCAATAGGCTTGAAATTGTTCGTGATAAGGCTAAAAATCGTTTTCAGATGATGCGGGCAGATCTCTCTGTCTTTCTATCATATATTTCTGTGTATTACTGCACTTTTGATTATTCTCTTCTTCTCTGTCTTTGCAAACTATATGATGTAGCAAACTTGAACTGCTGAACATGTTGAACTAGAGTTCTTAGATGACTTACAACTAGTCATATTTACATCAGAGTCTCTATTGGCTAGAAGAATTAATTATACGTTTGAGTCAAGTGAATTGCAGCTTTAACTGCTAAGAGTTTAAACAAGATCTTAATACATCAATACGGTTGCTTATCTTTAGGCATTGTAAACATGCCGAAGTAATGTTAACATGCATACGAACTAATTGACATCCTGAGGTAACTAATTATTTAGAAACTAGAAATATAATGTATCTTGAAATGACGAATACATCCAGTTAAACTGTTTAACAACAATTATGTGGCGATGAAATTAAAATTAAAACATCAAATAAGATCAGATGCAGACTCTTTGATTTCAAACATGACAAACCACCATTGCTAATAGTACTGCTGTTGACTGCTGACGACATACGATAAGTTACAAGTTATCGAATAACCAACACAATCAATGAAATGAAACAACGAACTACCAGTGAAACTAATCACATACTGCTCCCTATAATGCTCTCGAACAATAATGATATTTCAATTGATGCATTTCTTTTTCAAAACCTAATTTATTGATGTAAGGATAAAACTTGGGCACTGTGCTAGAGTGTAATTCCATTATGGATAGAAATTTTATTTCGATGAAGTCACAGTGTTATACAGTAATATTTACTGATGATGTTTTACTTTTGCTATCCTTGGTATCTTCACTTTCGTCAGCCCTTCCCTTTTGTTCGAATTCTCAGCCTATCTGTGCCCTTTGGAGATATCTGTGAACAGCGTTCAAAATGGTGGTACGCGGAGAAATATCTAACACAGGTATCCTAAAACAGAGAGATAGCTCGAATCGATGGCTCAAAACGTTATCGGATATGGCCAAGAATCGCGATCAGTGGCGAACGTGTTGAGATTTCCTTCTTTTTTCCCTTTTCGACGATGTTTGAACTTGTTAAATATGATTGTTTTCCTTCCATATGAAGCACTTTATCCGTTCTCTACCTACATCTTTCTTTTTAATTTATGTTGTTTTATCATTATTGTGTGGCGCATCTTTCTTGGTGCCATATTGTACCAAGTAGTTTGTGTTTAAGTAAATAAAACACCTTGAGTCATTTTAATCAATTTTAATACTTTTAAAGTTAGTGGAAAATAGAAAACAATTCATGTGTTACGCATACCTAACCATGGTCTTCGTCAAAGTGCAGTGTTAGCTGACATAGGATCAGGTTAGAAAAAAGCGCTAGTGGTAGTCAAAACAAAATATGCCATTAGTCCATGAAATCTTTAACATTAAGGTTGAGCCAATGTAGGGAGGTGAAGACGGCCTGATTAGAGTCCTCGAAATTCAAAGAATTAATGACTGGAGGCAACTAGTGATATTGCACCCACTCTTTGTGACTTGCCATATCCAATAAAACCTTACTATTTTTCCATGTTATTATTCTTTATTGCTCACATTCCTGCTTATTAACGTTATTTCGAATCACTTCTTTATACATACAGTGTATTAACCGAACTACTATAATTTTATGCAAGATTCTCTATTTTGAAACTACTCAATCACAGTCAGGTAATTTATTTTTGTTATACACTAGAATTCTGAAATCCTTTAAAAATGAAATAGACGCCTATACACACAAAGCAGTCTAATCATCATTCAATTCACCTACCATAAAAACAATCATTTACGTTTATGTCAAAATACACCTAACATTATATGATTTTTCACACTTAATTCGAACAAAATGTATAATCACTGCACAACAACAACAACAACAGCAAGGAGAAAAAAAGTGACTGATTCATACTGTTCATACTAAAAAGACAGCATATTATAACTAGGATAGAAAAATGAAAAAGAGAACAGAGAGAGAGAGAGAAAAAAAAGCAGTAAACGATCTTGTCTACAAGTGAGGTCATCTTCAGGTCATGCCAACAACAAAATGGGGAGGAAAATTTGAAAACAAGGGAGAAAGAAAAACCAATGAATGAAAGGAAGAAAATTTCTACTTGCCTATGTAGTTTATGAGAGTGGATATGTGTGAGATAGATAGAGAGAGTGAGAGAGAGAGACAGCCAACAAATCAGTTGGCAAATGAAACTATAAAAAAAAGTTGGTACACACATAAGTGAATAGAGATGGAGAATCGATTTTTTTTGTTTGTATAGATGTAAAATGAAGCCAGAGAAAAAAAGAAGGAAGAAAAATGAAGCGAATACTCTTCTTCTCTTTGTTGCCTTATTTCCTAATTCATTTTTCATAAATATAGGTCAATGACTTAGAATATTTAGTTTTCAAGAACTCATGAAATTATATCAAAAGAAATAATAAGTAAACCTCTTATGTACACGAAGCTGAATAAAATATTTACAGATAACACTCTGCTTTTTAGAAAATATTGACTCTTAAAGTTTTATCATACAATACTATCTGTGTTGATAAGCAGAAAATTTCGACTAAGCTAACAGTTGAGTTTTTTAACCATTAACCTCCCTTCTAGAATCATCAAAACACTGAAGAGGTGTTTCGTCCTAATTTCAACTTAAGGTTAAACAAGACATAGAACTTATAGCCGTCGGATAACGAAGCAATCACAATGCCATTTAGACGGAAACCAATTACTTACATGCTTTGTATTGTCACTAAATAAATTCTTTGATAACGCTTCAAACACCTTGATAAATCATCTATTTTTATATTATTTATTTTATTCCTTTTACATTCCAAGTGGAATATAGGGTTTCAATCAAGCTAGAGCTTTGAATTCCCAGTAGCGGTGGTTTTGTTTTTACGGTGTGGGATTGTCAGCCTCACACACAACCTTCTCTCTTTACGGGATACACTACCGGCTAAGTGCATCGGCCCGAGCTACGCGCATGGTTGGCAAGCGTTGCACCACCGGACTACCGATGCAATAAGTCTTACAGCTAAAATAAAGACTGTAAAAACCGTGTTTATACTAAGTAGTCAGATTCCTCAAGAGAATTATGCATATTTTGTGTATGCATGCAAAAAACAAATCATGTGTAAGGGAAAAAGGTGCCCCAGAGGCTGAATGGTCAACGAGGTCACCATGTGATATAAGGGTCTTGGGTTCAAATCCCTGTTGTGATCGCTGATGCATACTACTAAAGAATCCCAAACAAGAAAGAAACATTGTCCAGTATGTCCTGCTTTTCCCCGTAAAAAACCTGGCATGTCAAGACTGGATAAACTTCAATCTTCCTCTCGAAACGCTCTCACTTAGCTATGCGTTCATAACCCCTGTTAGGTAAGTTTTATTCACTACCTTCAAGCGGCAAGTGTCCATCATTAGAAATAGAGGGGACGAAACCGAGTGTTTCGCGTTTACAACCGAACTGGTGGACATACTGCTTTATCTAACGGAGCTGGGAAACCCGGTTCTAAATTTATGGTGTACATGGACTCAAGAATCTGAACGAATCGAAATGGAGTAAAAAAAACTGTTTTTGCCATTGGAAAACATGGGGTAGAGCAGCTCATGACGCTATTCTACTGCCTTGTGAAGCAGACTTAAAGCCAAAGACTGTGGGGATGATCTCTTAAGACAACTAGCTGCTTCGGTCTAGCTGTCTGGTCAGTATCCCAGCCCTTTCAGCATAAACTATAAGATATTTTGTGACACATGTCTTAGTGTCTATAATGTACCAGGTTTGTGATTTAATAATAAATATCCCTGATAAAAAATGTTGTACAGCTTATATTTGTCACCTTTTAAAAAAACCTATTGTAACTTATTGTTTGTATGATAGTGACTGACTGACTGACATTGGAGAAAACAACCACTAGGATTACAGTTATATGTATTACTGTTGAAGTGAACTTGATCCACTGTAAGCACACTTCTACAATAGCCAAACATACAGTACTAACGTAGAAAACAAGGTTTCCACAAAGCTCTACTAGAATGGTACCGAAAGCACAGGTCGGTGGCACAGTGGTTAGCACTCTCGCCGACCATGCTCATGGTCCGGCATTCGAGCCCACCCGGCGCACACCTGATATCTATGGTCGGCCTGCGAAATTTGGGCTACCGATATCCACGCTGAAAATTCCATAATTGTACTGAAAATAAGGTGTGGAATCAAGCTGTAATCAAAAATATAAAAAAAAAAATAATTACGTGTGACCTTAAACAAAGCCTAGTGAATAAGTTTATCCCTGAATTTGGAGTTGCACTTTTCTACATCAATCTACTCTTTAATAATTGGATTTTTTAAACTTTATTTAGTTAAATGTGTGAAAAATGTGACCGATTTGAAAAAAAGCAACAATAAAAAATACATCCAACGCATTGTTTAAATGTGTATATAGAAAGCAAGTAGGTCAGAAAAAAAGCAAGTTAATATATGAAGAAAACAATACACACTTCTGAGCGAATATTTTAGTTTCAAACCGAAAACAAAAGCGATCTAGTGGTCAATGGATATAAACTAATGCTAGGTTAAGCAATCATCAATTTACTTTGTCATATACACTGATACCCACATATCATGAAGAAACTCAATAGAAGATAATGACAATGTTAATCTTTCCAACTGATTGAATATAGCAAATCGCCTACTTAAAAAAATTAAAGGCTTTTTCCTTAAAAAAAACAACAACAAAATATGATGATTAAGTTGTTGAAACGAAAGACTAGAGGATAAAGCAACTCGACAAGTATGTAGAGATTTGTGTATGGTTAGGGGTTGACTATGCATACAGAGGACGACTCCACTTTAAGTAGAAATTAATGATGGATGAAGGGGAAATGGAAACGCCTGTAAACATCTCAGAATAACACCAATTCACTATTTTATTCTTGGCCATTTTTGTTTTCGTTTTAATCTTACAAACCCGTGCACGTGAAATGTATGTGTTAGACAGCAAAGCTCTATTGAGTTACTACAATGCTATTTGAATCATAGGTATATTCTACGTTATCTGTTGTAAGACACGCGTAACAGTAGTTAAATTCATCGACAAGCTAAACACATGGTGATAAGTAAAGTGTGTGGTCACTCACATAAGGAAAACATGTGAATGAGCACAAATCATTAACTTACTAGCTCTAAGAGGGCGTGGAACACCTCCGACAAATATTGTCTTACGCGGATCCAATGGCTGTGAACCATCCATCACAAAATCAGAGTCTGCTAAATTCCATGGTCGGATTTGAACCTGATAAATCAATCAAGAGAAACAAAGATAAACATTGGAAGATTTACCCCTATTAAATATAAAAAAATTACAATACTATTGCACTGGACTAAACAAAATACAATGGATTTCATTAAAAATAAAAATACTGAAGTTTCGTTAATTCAAAGAAATATATAAAAATAACTTTATATTGTTAATATAATAAGATCCTTTATTTGAACACCATCTCGTCTAATTTAGTTATCAATCCTAGGCTTGGACATTGAGTTTTTAGCTAATAACCCTACCCCAGAGAAGCAATCTAACCGCCAAAAAAAATTCAAAGCACTTCCACCGCAACACAATCGAAAACACAAGAAGAGGTGTCTGAGCAGATGAAGAGTTTTACGTGATTTTGATTAGTTTAGATAACTATTTTTCAGAGAACCCCATAAAATTAATGACTATTTGTGAATTAATTTTTAGAAGGAATTATTGCTGTATAGAAGACTGATTCTTCTGTAAGAAATAAGCGAAAATGGCATTTTATTTACATTCAAACAACAATGAAGAACGCTTGTATCTTAATGTTTAAAATTGGTAGCAACTTTTCTACAATGAAGATATTATCAAGTAAATAGCTAGATGATCAAACAAAGCCAGGTGCCGGGTGATTTTTAACGGGATACTCAGCAAGGAGTTCGAGGTGCATACAGCAGTAAGACAAGCTGGCTGTCTATTATCACCGATCATATTCCTAATTGCTGTGGACTCGATCGTGCATCAGACTGTGCACTGGGAGCGCGAGGAGACAGGATTACGCTGGACCACCAATAAGAAGACTCTAGAAGATCTGGATTTCACGTTTAGATGATATATGTCTAATGTCACGCAAACTCGAAGATTTGCAAGCGAAAACCAAAAAACTGGCAGAAGAAGCAGCGAAGACAGGACCGCAGGCAAACAGAGAAGGCGAAGGTGATGAAGATAACCAACCACTACCACCAACAACAACAACCAGCACCAACCACCATCACTGGGAGAGATATAACAGAGGTTACTTCCTTCACGTATTCAGGAGGCATCGTTTCAACATGTCGGAGGAACAGATGAAGATGTCAAAGTCTGTCATAACTGGAAAGGCAGGATATACCTTCATCAACCTGAAACCAGTTTCGAAATCTCCTGCTGTCACTCAGCATAAGGAACAAGATTCGTATTTTCAGCACCAATGTCAAGTCAGTCAGTGCTTCTATATTGGTCAGAAACTTGCAGTGCGTCTCACGGAAAGGACTTCCAACAGCCAGTTGCAGACTTTTGTCAACAGCTACGACCTCCACTGGCTACATACTGAAGGTGCAATAGTCAGTCGGCCAGCCAGAAAGAATTAGTTACAAGAAACTCTGACTTGGAACAAACCAACAGGCGAGAGCCGATCGCTCAACAAATATGTGGGGGGAAATAAACATGGATCAAGCATAAATCGAGGAGACAGTCGAAATGACATCGCGCACTGTGCAGGCCATCACTCGAGTGGAATCCAAGTGGTAAGCGACGAGTGTGTCGTTGGTGTGAGGTTAAGATGGAGTAGATCATGTGAGGAAGAGATGAGAGATAATGGGCAATCGTGAATCCGGCTGAAGAGGATGGCAAAAAATAGAAGAAAGTGGAGATGTGTTTGCTGAAGTCCTGTGTTTCTCCCGGAACCAAAGGGAATAACAATAATAAATAATAATAACTGATCGAAGCATTCAACATTGACTGAGTTTCAACATACAACTTAGCACAAAGTGCGGCAGTCCATGTTGCCACACCCTGTGTAACACAATGATAGACAAAGATGGGAGAAAAAAGAGATTCAAAAGGCCTATCATAAACCGAGGTGTGACGATGAAAGAATAGTAACATTAAAAAACATAAGTTTGAGAGATGACAAAGAGTGAATGCATCTGTGTCAATGAGAACAGTTTTCATTCATACCACCACTAAGCTCCAAGTCACTGGTTCTTAGCATCTCGATGGCCCTAACCTGACAGTATGCATCCCCCTGTGTGTCTCAAACCAACTGTCAAAGACTTCATGAACTGATTCGAAATTTTCGTCCGACTACTCCTAACCCTTTTCCAACCAAATCCTACGTTGTTTAAAATTACCAGTCAAGGAAGGCGATGCTTCAGCATGTGCAACAGGTATGCTAGCCAACTCAATCGATTCACCTTTACAACCTCATTGACCGACCCACTCTCTTTACCTAACGCTCTACGCCTAGCCTTAATATTACTCATCATATTATACCACTAGACATGAAAGACAGAACGTAAATTCTGTAGTTAAATAAGCTAACCTCTTCAGATCTTCCAGTCTCAATGGTCATGTTTCACACACAACCATAAAGGGGGACAAAACAAACTGATGCGCACTACACATGTACTTTGATTGATAGCCGGATATCGCGTTTACATCAAAGATGACGTGAGTTGGTAAATGCCATATGAGCCTTTTGTATCCGCACTCAACATTAAGGAAGAGTGTTAGTACGCATCACGATATATCAACAGTGTGTATAACTTAAAAGTATTAGAATTCTATGATGTGTACAAAATATGATAACGAGTGGACTAAGAAAATTTAGTTCATTTATAAAACATCAGCTGAGCAAGATAATGAACATTTGGGTTTGGGAACTTAAAAATGAATCCTGATTTTCAAATGTACACCCTAGAATTTTGGTGCTAATAAGTGGTCCAGAAAAATAAGGCATACACTGGAGAATATAACTATTACGTTAAAAATAAACTGAATTAGTCACGATGATGTGTAGCGGAATAAAATAGTTCAGGCATGCATCTTACGTTTACGTCACGCGTGTATATACATATATATATATATATATAGAGAGAGAGAGAGAGAGATACTGTTTCAATGCAATCAAAAGAAACAGTATAAGTTTAGAAATTGTTAAAAACTTAGCATACAAATTTATCAAAACTTACAGGTTTATCTTTCATAGTCGGCGAGGATACACACCAATAAAATTTTCCTTCATCCACAATACAAGCACTAATAAGACTTTGAACAGATCTTTCATCTTGAAACAACAGGAAACAGTATCCTAGATAACAAGTTTGTAAAAAATAATGATAATAATGCTCTGTAAGGAAACTTTTTAGTTTTCAATGAGATAATGACCATGACAACCAAAAGTACATTGATAAATAGGAAGTAGATAAAATACTTAACATTTTTGTACAAGAAATGCTCACTCAGTCCTAAGTTTATTTATGAGTTAGCAGTACTTTAAGTATTACATTTCGTAATCACAACTAACTGAAGCATTATTGATGTTTTTGCTCCCATAAAGGAACAACTAAACTAATTTCATGAGATCTTCTTTTGCAAAATATAAAAATAATAATAAACGTTTAACAAATCATGCTAGGCTCTTGTTGAAAAGTGTAATATCTACAAATGCATATCCTTCGCAATTTTTATCCTATAATAAATTATGAACTTTTCATACCAATCGAACAAAACAAAAGTACCTTAACTATTGGTGACAACCAGGTTTTTATTTTTGTTGTAATCAAATCAGCCCGTATATATATATAAAGCTACTATAGCAACTATTGTTCCCCTTGTCTCTTGAACACGAAATAGCCATGTAATCCTATGTATTCATAATGTACTTCTAAGATGGCTTTCACCATACACCTCTTAATATCTTATCTCAAAGTTTATTTTAGAAAATGCCTGCTTATGATTAAAGTTTGTCATTTTTTCATGTAATTGCTACTACTCCATCTATTTATGTGCACAAGTGATGATTATTTACAGAACGCTTAGTATTAGAAAAAGGGGAAACAAGTGTAACATGACAATTTACTTACCTTTTGGTGGAAAATATGCTTTACTTTCAGTCTTATGAGGCCAGTCAACGATTAAAGGTCCAAATCGGCGGAAAGCAGTAGTTATCTCCTCTAATAAAGTAAAATAAATATACTCCGACTTTAGTCCAATTATCAATTACGTCATAATGAGTGAGAAAAATATGGTCAGAAATACTTGTAATAAAGCCTAACTGAAGTAAGCTAAGTAACTAGAGAACTAATCAGAAGACTATTGGTGAGGGACATTTTCTCCATACAAAACACCATTCACTATTTATGATTGATTCATTTCCATAGATATTTTTGATTTTAACACTCTTCATATGGCCTCAAGTGATCACTAACACCTGCTTTTACATTAACCCTTAAGAATGATAAGAATTTTGAAAAGAAACTCAGACACCTAGAAAAATTTAACGCAGAAGTTTACACAAAAATTCAAGCCGCTACACACTGAGAAATCTACACGATAAGAGTGAAGGAACGTTGCAGTATTAGCGTGAAAAACCTAGATTTCAATGAATAATTTGACAAAAATCGGTGAACGTTTAATAATTGTGAACCTACAGGGTGTAAACAATTCCTAACTAAGTCACCAGGAGTTCCCAACTATTCGGTATCAGGAACAAAATCTATGAACTTACTGCTTTAGTTTACATTTCCACATTAGAGGCACTAGTAATGAGTGATAATAAGAAATAAATTTATAAGATAAACTGAAGTTTGTAACTAACGTACCGTCGATCAGCTGGGGAAGGACCAAACTTCATCCATTCATCCACTGGCTTCTTGGCTGAGTAACTTTTATGAATAACCTATTTGGAACATTCCACAGATGTTCTAAACCAGCCCATTGTTATATTGACACAAATGTATCAAGTGATAGATTAGACGTAAACTATTATGGGTTCAAGTGGTTCGGTTTCGTGGTCACATGACAGACTTGGTTAATGTTGGAAGATAAATTTATTGAGATCACCCCGAGTTGATACATTTCCACCAGCTTTGTGATAGCATTCTCACATTGAAATTGGATGTCAAACAGAATACATCTTTGGAGCCAGTCCTCAGACACAGCTTACCTAATATTCTTATCACTTACCCTGATATTAAATGAATGGAAATGGTTATTCTTCGGGTTTATCGATAAATTTCGATCACAAATGAATTCCGTAATTAATTTTCCCCCTTCTCAAAACTTAGATATCTTGTTGCTGAAATCTACTAATTAATTGTTTTGATGACCTTTAATCTCTTATTTTCATCCCCCTATACCTAGAACTGGTAATTCTTATGGAATAAAATGACTGCAAAAAACTATATACTAGTGTAGAGCCGATAATGAGGAACTAATTGAAAAGGAGTATACTTCTCTCAATGTTGTTTTTTCTTGATCATAAATTACCTCATTTCTTTAATACTCGCAACTTATGAATACATCCCACATAAGTTTTGATTCTCGAAAGCTTCCACGTCTTTCGATACTTACTGCATCATAAGAATTACTGATGCCAAGCGAAATACATATGAGTCTTTAGACTCCTATTTGTTCTTTGGTGCTCTTTTCGCATTTCACTCAGGACAGAAAATGAATATTTTTCAAAAAGTTGAATTAGCATAACCAAAACAACTAGTAAATATCTTGCAGTCATAACAAATAAGCTACTTCTTAAGACAGCGAAATAAGTTTCAAGCTTATACCAAATTTTGCAGTGACAGAAAGTGAATATTATTATTCAGACAATACAGTCAAACAGCTTTAAAATAATAATATGCTGTCTACACCTCTTTATCAAAAAGCAATCTAGTAGGACGAGGAAGGGAACATTTCTGTGAAATTTGTGTTGTGGCATTTACATCCACAGCATATCAAAAACACCAGTACAGGTTTAATTAGAAACCGAAGACAATTGAAGACGGAGTTACACTAGTGAACAAACAAAAGCAAAAAAATAAGTTGTGGAAGTCGGCCATGCATTAGTCAATTAGTCTTTACCACTAGAGAACCTGGAGCTACTAAATGGTCGTCGAGTTTAAACATCTGTGCAGCATCTCTTCCTAAGAAAGAGCTATGAATTTTAACTAAATAGGTGTGGAGAAATGAGTCACCCAAGAAAACCCCAGCTATATCCAAGGTTTACCCTTAAACATCAATGAACTAGATTGCCCTAAACATAGTTTTAATGTTCCAGTCTTGAGCCACACTGATAATGTGCGGACTGACACTATCCAGCCTTCTAGACTATAGCAGGTGAAATAGGCTTGGATTCATTGTTTTGGATGATTTTGTGTGTGCATTATGGTGAAATATGGGAATAAACAAAATACATAATAACTTTTGTTTAACACTTTTATACTTTAATGCTGAAGTAACTACAAAGAACATGGCCAGGCATATGAATTCGACGATAAACTTTCAAGCAATGACATCCACATTTGATGCATAGATTTAAATATGTGATACAAGTAGTGATGTGATTGTCCACTTTAAAGTGAGTCGTTTGATTACTTTAATACGGAGTATCTGATGTCATTCTATATCTATGCATAGGAAGGAAATCCATTGGTACCAAAATAAAATACTGTCTGGCATCTTGAAATAAAGTCTACTGTCAAAAGCAATAATATCTACTAAAAGACACACGGGGCCCATAAATCTCTTCATGCAGTGATTTTAGCACCAACCAACTTAATTTCTTTAAGTCTGACGATAGACCAAATTAGTACTTAGTAGTGATTGGGTAATTCATGAAAGTACTTACTTAGTAGTTATTCTGAAACTCGGAAGCATATCGTATTTAATGAATATTACTTCACGCAAGAATAAATGGCAAAAATGGACTGTAACTAATTTGTAAATACCCTTGCTTTGTATACTTAATCCTGTTAAAGAAATATCAGAGTCATTTAGAGAGAAACTAGTTAAAACAATGGGCATGTAAATGACTATATATTAACTCCAATCAATTGTGAGATCCACGTATATATCAACATACCTTCATCTATATCAGGTGGGAGTCCTCCAACAAATACTTTTCGCGAGTAGCCTTCTTCACGTGTAAAAATGTTGGCAAACATTGAGTAAGGATTTGTCATCCCGACTGAACTTAGCATAGAACTTCCATTGTAACCAGAAAGATTATTAAAACCGGAGCTATGGTTACTTGTTCCATTTATCATAGGTGCTGAGTTGTGTATCGAAGAGGCACCCAACACAGGTACTTGATTTACAGAATTCAGTGTAGATATTTGCTGCTCAACCTCTCCGAAGCCAGACGGGAGCGCCAAGTCGTCGAATGCCCCTACTGACGCATTATTCGCATTTGATGTCATCACATTGCTACCAATGCTGCTGATTTCAAAAGACTTGATAACTTCCATTAGCTGTTGATCTAGTCCATATTTGAAATTATCAAGTGAACTTTCAGAGGTTGCAGTGTTGAACGGTACTGGGGTCGTAAAAGAATCCCCAGATGAACAAATTGCCAGAGGACTATTGGTAGATGACGAAGATACAGTATTATTCAGGATTGCAGGATAGAATTACTACTGAAACCTCCAGAAGTACCATTTAAACCACTATCTCCACAACCATTGGGAATTGTAGACATAACGGAACTAGTCCCTGATGTAATACCACGATTGCCATTTAATTGCAAACTATTACTAGAAATATTCATGAGACTCTTACCGACTGCTATTTGGTTTTGTGAAGTCTGATGATGCTGTTGTTGCTGTTGCCAATGTGCCATCATACGGTGTTGAGGGCGCTTAGGAAACATACTATATAAGTTTGAGAGACCTGTCTCATTAATTTTATTGTTATTACTGGTAATACCCATACTGGTTGTCGTCATTGAGCCAATACCCAAACAAACAGGCGTCCGAGTTAAAGAAGTACTGTTGGTTGTTCCATTTGTGAAACCCATAGCTCCTATCACATTGGGGATATTCTGCATACTTTGTTTCTGCATCGTTTGGTGAATGTTTGAGCTCTGAGACCAGGATATCGTATTGGCTTCATTCCCCGGAAAATCAATGGCTGGCAGATTAGAATCAGTAACAAGACCATTACTTATTTTCGCCGAAGCGTTGGTACCACTACTGCTCCAAGCGTTAGAAACCAAATAACCGAGTGTCGAGTTCGACACCCCAATAGAATTATTCGGCCAAATACCATTCTTATTCACAGCAGGAAAACGCGTAGCTTGATGAGCCCCTGTAATCGGACGCTTTAACGCTATAGCTGCAGCGGTGGAACAATTGTTCTGGACAGAAGTCTGATTAATTCCGTTAGCGTAACTGTCACTTAGTGCGCCATCTTGATCTGCTTCTGTGTTAGACACCAAAGATGTCATAGTATCTCCAACAAATGGGAAGCCATGATCTGATGAAGTTAAACCAATACAACTTTGGTGATTCCATAAACCACTTGGCCCTCCGAATTCACCTGGGACATCAAGAGGTTCTTGTTCAGTAGAAATATTCTTGGCATCATTTTTCTGATGGACCCTTGAAAGTGAGTCAGTGTTAGGTTCTAACGACGCCCTCATAATACGATAATCTGTACTTGAATTACTGCTACGCAAACAATTTGCGTCTGTCAAATGATCAACAAGTGAAGTTACATTGGATGTTTTACTCAGTTTATTTCGATATTCTGTCTCACAAAACTGCATTTGACCATCAAGATTACCACAAGCAAGTTTTGTGAAATCAACGATATCAGCTGCGGACGAGATTTTATCTGGATGATCTGAGTTTGATTTCATTAAGGAAAGAAAGTTATTTCTTTTATTTATTTCCTCACAGCTATTTTTACCAGAGCTAACCATTGGTGTCGCGAGAGGAAGTGAGTCGCTAGGCTCGATCAACGATGTGGAAGGTTGACAAGTAACTGGAGTTAACGTGATGCTTGAACTATGCGGTGGATTACGGGACAAGTCACGATCTTTCCGAGCGTTTTCAAGATTTTCAGCTGGTCCACTACCACTTGCAATTCCCATATCAGTTAGATGGTCAAGATCAGATCGAACATCTTGCATTCGAGAAACTGCCGCATTGAACAAGGAGAGATCCGATGAAGTAAGGTGATCTGAATTTTGAAGAGCTGACCTACACGATGCAGATTTCATGAAATTCTTTTGAAGGCTAGAATTTCTGACCAGATCGATTTCCCCATTCATCTGTAAGAGGGAAAACATCTGTTAGCACTTTCCACACACTAGATCAATAAAATGAAATAATACAGTCATGGAAGCATAAATGTAGTAGAAAATGAAGTTAAAAGAACGAGAATTACCACTCCTGGCACGTATCCAAAGTATAAGCGGTAGGGCAGGTAGCGAATTGCCCATGGAGATGGTGCACTTAAAGAAATGAACAGCAAAGTTCAATGTTTAGAAAAGTCTGAAGTTTCCTATTCCCAGTGTGCCAAAATGGGATTTTTAAGTTTCGCTTTTGTATCACTTTTGAAATTCGGTTGTGAATGTGGAGTTTTATTAAAATTTTACACCTGAAAAATGAGATTGGCATTGACCCCTTTTTCTTCCTGTTTAGTATGCACTGAGTACATGTGCAATAATTTGACATCCCTTCCATTGAATATTGGATGAACTAGATGAACTATATCCACAGATTTTGGGTAATAACATCATTTCTATTTCTCCACAGAGGTATTTAATTACGACGAATTAAAGTTTCACAGCAGGAAATGCCGACACTGAACAAAGCGGCTTTGGATATCTATTTATTCAGCCCACAGAGTTTCTGTATAATCTATTTGCTGTTTCTAATTAGAGTGGCTGGAGCAGACCAAGAAGAGTATTTAACAGCTTCCACATTCGTTACTAAACCTGGATGGAACGAATATTTTTAACAATCAAACAACACCACTGCTAATAGTGCAGAAGACTAAAAATCATTCAGTTTTCTAGTCTTAGGCAGAGGTATTTGATCTCTTCGATAGCCTGTCTCTATTTTATGGGCCTATGAATTGAAAATTGCAGGCTAGGTAATGGGAAAATACCAGATATCTTCCGGTGACTTATGTCTCTAAATACTTAGAAGACAAAAGGATCAAATGGCGAAATAATTACATTTCGATTAGAAAGCAGTGGACAAACATATATCGAATAGGGAAGGGCAATTAGTGAACTAACAGAAAGTCACAGGGGTGTTAGTGTTAGAAGGTACTCCGATAGATGACTTGTTAAGCCAACTGTCCCCCAGGGACATAGACAACTTAGCAGCAGCCTTCTTACTTTCTTGGAGAAGACAGTTTGTTTTAAAAAATTTCGCATGCATTATCACCCAAATTGTTGAGTATGTTTAAATTCTCTGCGTAAAAGAAAGATGAATTTCAAGATTATATATGACTCTAGGTAGGCCTGAGATATCATGTTTGGAAGTCAGGGACCTAACAACAGCTCCTGTTACCCTTAATCTCGCCACCAGAGCTTTGAATTCAGGACAGAATATGTCAACAGGCTTTCGGTAATCAAGGAATACAGACAGAAGCAAAGTGTATTTTCCGTATCTTTCTTGAATTCTTAACTCCCTGTAAAACTTCGTTAAATGATGAACGGCTCTACTAGACCTCTTCCCTTCATTTGCCCACCAGGGCGCCAATAAAACACGCTAGTCTAAACTGCTCTCTTTTTCCTTTATGCATGTTTCAGGTTAGCTTATTTGTGAATAATTTGTTAAATGGGTTTCTGAATACAATTTTAAAAAGGACCATCTAGGTCCCTACGTGCCTTCCAGTGCGTTTTATTTACCACTATTCATTTGTATTCAGTGGTTAACCTTCGTCCGACTTCTCTCCTGTGATGATGTAACGTCAAAATGGAAACCGACTGGATATACACTTTAAATGCAGGAATATATACACCCATATATATGCATTAAGACAGGACTCCAAGTAAACATAGACAAGACGGAGGTTATGAAAATAACCAACCGACACCAGCAACAGCATCCAACGTCAACACCATCAACGGGAGTGATTTGAAAGAGGTTACTTCATTCACTTACTTATCTAGGGAGCATTGTCTCAACTACAGGAGGAGAGGACGAGGATGTCAAATCGAGAATCGGGAAGGCGAGAAACACATTCATCAACCTGAAATCAATCTGGAAATCTTCGTCACTCAGCACCACCAACAAAATTCGGATTTTCAATACAAACGTAAATTCAGTTCTTCTATACGGATCAGAAACTTGGTGGGTCACAAAGAATATTTCCAACAGCCTGTTGCAGACATTTGTTAACAACTGTCTTCGCTCAATATTGAAGATCAGATGGCCGGAAAGAATCACCAACAAGGAATTATGGGAACAAACAAAGAAGAACCAATCGCCCAACAAATATGCAGGAGAAAGTGGAAGTGGATCGGACACTCGCTGAGGAGATCGCTGGGTGACATCGCGCGTCAGGCCCTCGAGTGGAACCCGAAAGGGAAGCGGCGTGTGGGACGTCCAAGGGTGACATGGAGGAGATCGTGTGAAGAGGAGTTGAAAGAATATGGACTAACATGGATGCAGGCAAAAAGTACAGCAGAAGACAGAAGCAAATGGAGACGTGCAGTTGAAGCCCTATGTTCCACTAGGAACCCAAGGGAGCAATAATAATAATATATATGCATTAGATATCAATGAAATACGATCCTTGATTTGGACAAACACAACCCAGTTTTCCTATTTAGACCATTGTTTGTGCTGTCATAATATCAATAATACCGCATTGTTGATTTGCAAAAAACTCATGAATTTTTACTTCAAACTTCAGTCAGGTGGTTATTTACTCACCACAGATGACTAATTGCCTGCTGGTACCCAGAAACCAGGTTTGCGATGGTCGTTTCAGGGGAAAATCAGCGAAGCTGTAACCCATCACATTACTTGTTATAGGTGCAACTAGCAGGCAATAGTACAATAAATAGGATTGCACTGGAATAAATCTTGGTCGAACCACCCCTAGACTATTTGTAGCATGTGCCTTATTCCTGAGATGTCAGGGAAGAAGCTACCAAAAAGGATTGCTCGAACTGTCGACTATTCTGTCTGATATAAAGCCATGACGCCAACTTCGTGAATGACATATAATCCGTGTTCAACATCAAACGAGGAGCGACTGATTAGTACGGACGGTGAAAGTCTCATATTACGCTTCAGACAAAATAATCAAGGCCAAATGGAGATTTTAGGGTAGTTAAAGGTGAAAACTACACCTGGTTTATTCAAAGGTTCCAGTAGGTTTTCGCATCGTTGACTCCTATGCGTCTTGAAAAGTTACCGCATACCGATGAATACCACCAGGAGGAGACTAAACCAGAAGAAACGCCTTGCTATACAAATGGTGCGAAAAGCTGCCTCAACTCCGCCTAATGTTTGAGTCAGTCTCTTCCAGCATCAGCCGAGAGATTCTTAAAAATGACAGTGAATTTTCAGATATTTGTCCTAAAATACTCGAATTTCCAAGGTTGGGTGAAAAGTAGGCATACGAAAAGACAAAAGGCTATTCATTCTTCGAAAAAACAAAGAGCTTGGCTTCGGACAAACTGAAAGTCGTCAATGCCGGATCCTGCTACAGGCCTTATTTCGAAACTATCCACAGCCACAATAAACAATCAGGGTCACCATATTATATGTTGGGTAAGGAAAATCAAACTGACTGGAGCCCTAGCTGTAAATACGGAGTCATGGACTAGCTAACTGGGCATTGACTCTACAACACAGTGTCCAGTGATCACCTAGATGCAATAAGTGACTGACTGATTAGGTTGCCTGTACTTGGTCGACATCACCCGGAACTATGGTTTGCTCAACTACAGCACCACTTTCATCAGTATAGCAACAAGTCCGAAATCACCACGCAAAAGGACACGTGTTATCACTTACCTTGTGAGATTAGCAAAGGGTGAGGGGCATCATACTTCACCCCCCGAGACAAGCAACCATACACAGGGCTTAACTGCCGGGTGATGAGACACCTACGTCAGAAAATTAATGTATACAACAGCCATCTCAAAGGGAGAACATGGGAGATAGATCCTCAGCATAGCTCTCGCGCCACCCGAAACAGCATCTGGTGAGTGCACGGTCTAGAGGAGCTGTGTCATGGAAAGTTTGAACGCAAGCCTTCCCTCACTACGTGCAGCAGCCACAGTCACCATTCATTTAAGCCCACATTTCTGTTTATTATCCCTACTTTAAATCTCTTTTCACTTTCTTCTCCTCCTTCGTGTGCTAGGCGTGGAAACTCGAACTGCTGCACACCTGTGCATACCTCTACATTCCAACTAGTCAGTCAGACGGCCATTGGACGCACATGATCCTGTCTCCTCTCTTTAACAGTCTTCCCGCACTGCTGACAGGGCTTTGCAGGAGAGCGGCCTGAAGAAGAGGTAAGCCATATGACTTTGAGCAAAGACCCAATAATCCGAGAACTAGTGAGCAAAGTTAGATCACTTCCGGAACAACTGTCAAAATACAGCCAACACAGGGTGATCGAAGTAGATCATTCATTAGAGTACGTTTCTGATCAAGAATTAAACTCAGACGAACTGGATAAAAGAACCAATTCCGTTGTATCCCTGTAAGTTTGGCGAACAGTCAAAAAATGTACGCAACTATACTCCTGGCCTAAATTCCCTCACTAGCAACAGAGGAACGACTGACCCTACCTCAGGCTGGAAATGCTGAGAAGGGGGGCTCGAACAGCCTCTTGTTCTACGTCGAGAATAAAAACTTTGGCAGAGGCTTCTTGGATGGCACAGCCACTGCATTAAGTATAATACGAAATACAAATGCCGGGCTGGGAAGACTAATGTCTCCCATCACTCTAAAGGCTGCCAATAAAACCCAGGTCGTGATGCTCAGGCGTAGAACACCGACCCTTGACCTAGGGTTTAGGTGGCAGATTCCATGTGTGTTCACTGTTGCCGATCTAGACCTAGCACTCCTCGTCATAGACTCCTGGAAAGACATGGCTTACGAGTGGACACTCAAAAAAGCCATTTATTAACATAAGAAATCTCCTGGGATATGAATGGAAAAGCCAGCAAAAGACATTCGTTTAATCTAGTCCAGCTTTCACTAGTACCAATCGAAATACTCCGAAAATGCCAGCAGA